GGAAAGGGGAATCCCTTGGGATATCTGGATTAAGTCAAGGCAAGGAAAGGGAACATGATGGGGGGAAGTATGACCAGGCGTGAAACCACTTTCAGCAGCTCTAAGAGGAAAAACACTCTTGAGAGATTTGCAGAACTGGATCTGCTTAGCTGAACAAAAAGAATAGTGAGGAGGGACTCCAACATAAAACATGAAACACCAGGAGACTTTTTATTGCAATGGAGAAAAACATAACAAGAACAAATGGCTGTCAGTGAGAACCAGGCAAATTTAAGCTAGAAATAAAACATAACTTTAACAACATTTAACGTCAGAACAAACTGTTAAATAAAGCTGGGGATTTTCCTTTTATCTGTTTTATTTGGGGGGCATGTGGTTTGCTCAAACTAAACTTAAAGTAGTGAGGTTTTGGGTACTTTATATATTCACTTTAAGATGACTGGCTTGCTCTAAAGAGGGTCAGACCTCTGTTTATGGGAGGCTGTTTTAAGGAGAAAAAGTCTGTCTGTGAGAAATTAACCCAGAGGGCCTGCTTGGCAGTTAATAAACACTTGAAAGAGGTAAACTGAAGACTTTACTGAGTAGAATTTTTAGCGAAACCTCCTAGAAATCAAGGTCTTCAGGGTGGCTGTAGGAGGCGTAGGAGGTAAAGCTCTTTGGGCAGCCTGTGAAGGAGCCACCACTGTGTGGAAAGGTCCTCCTGGCACTGGGAAGGAAGCAGGGATGGCATTTCCCCTCCAGCAACAGAACTGAATTGAAAAGCAACTGACACACTTAAGGTGTGTTCTTCCACATGGGAGACAGAGAACTCCTTCCTCAAAACTTGTTAATAACGAACTCCACAAGACACTGTTGTTGAACCAGTCAGACTTTTATGAAGCTTGTATGATCTAACAAGAGAAATGAAGTAAATACCTGAAATGCCGTATCATACGCTGCTTTGCCCTGCTTGACTGTGGGGAAAGTATGAGTATGGATCAAGTTCTCCTGGCCATCTTTTAGATTCAACTGGATGGTTGGGTTGCTTTGAGCTTTTAGGTCTGTTAATGTGTTGGACATTTGTTATTATAATCTAGGTGGTCATTCAGTTTGGGTTTAAGAAATTGAGATTTTCTATTACATATATATGCAAATAACTGATAGTACAAATCTTTCAATGTCAATGTGAGGAAGCAACTGAGGATGTGTACTTGCAGTATATGGGAGTAATTAAAATTTATTTTAGTGAAAAGAAAATGGTGTTATTGATAGCAAAAATTAATATTCAATCTTAATATATGCATATTTTCGATATGCATACCTTTATTAAAGTCTACAGCCAAGGAATTATTGCAGTACTGTCTTGTGAATAGGCTTCTATCCAGGAAAAAACCTCAAAGTCTTCTGAAGTATTGTCACTGATACCAATGTCATGTGTTTAAACTGCTAACTGTATCTGCCTATGTATAGCCATTAAATAGGTGCAATGAAAATCTATTCTGAGGAAAATTTTAAAAGCCAGTTGTTTAAATGAGTGTTTAGGAAGTAAAGTTACCCATCGAGTCACATGTTTAGTCTTTCTCCAAACATTTTCCATTTAGTTATAATCAAGTTCCGTATAGTTGTTTTTTGTTTGTTTGTTTGTTTGTTTGTTTTTGTTGTTGTTTTTTTTTTTTCGTTCTAGTTAGCTACTTTTCACTTCAGAAGTGAGAATTTTTTGCTGCAGATGCATGTGATAAGCAGCCCTTCTGAGATCATGCTTTTCTTTCTACCACTAGATGGTAGTGTGTGTTGTTTAAAACATTTGAATGGCACTGTTGTAGTGTGCATTGAGAGATTTACCCCAGGAATCTTTTATTCCTGTGTGTAGATAAATCATTGTTAATCATTGTCACTTACATTGAAAAATCTAATCTGTCCTCAAAGCTGAACACTGGGGACATTTTTTTCTTGGCTTACCAGCTCTTCCAGTCAAAAGACTACGTTGCATTCCCTTCATGTGTAACAGAAAGGACAAATCTGTCATTAAACCCTAAGATTAGAGATATTCAGGTTTAATTTTTTTTGTGAAGTCTATGACTGAACTGGAAGGGGGGGGGGGCGAGAGTGTGGAATTGTCTGTTTGAACTTTTAAGATCTTAGGGCAGATAGGTCCTTTGGCTGTGGAGTACTGCAGCACTTGGTAGGATGTGATAATGATCTCAGTTGAGCTTTAGGCGTTCTTATGATACAAATATAATTAATAACTTAATTTCATCCACAAATCTGACACCTGAGTTACAATAACTAGCTGGGGGTGGCTTATGCCATTAGACCAGTAGTGGGTAGACGAATATGTTTCAATGGCTTTCATAATAGTAAGATGGCAGGCTGCAATTACAGGAATTTGTAGTCAGCAGGTTTTGCTTCTTGACTTTAAGTTTTAAAATATATGTAACAGCAGATTTCCATTCAGATTCCTCAGGTTGGGTTTCTGTAGCGGGCTAGAGCTCTTGATGCAGACAATACAGATGGCTAGCTTCTCAAAGGGGCAAGTGTCACTGCTCCTGTCAGGAAGCAACTGAGAAAAAGTAGCCTTAGCATTAGCCTGTCTGGAGGTTTTAATGCTAATTTAGCATTTAAAAGTTTCAGTTTGTTCATATATGTGACTGTTAAGATACCATTTGTCTGGATTTTTGTGGAAACTGGTGTGAGAACATACAGACTTAGGTCACTTAGAACAACTGATCACAGAAATATCCTGTATCTAAGATGAGACCTTATACCTCTGAAAAAGGCTTAAATGGTTCAAAACAGATTAGAGTCTGAAGAAACTTCTAACAGGAGGGAGGAGGCAAGCGATTATCTCTTCACGTGGTATTTTTCTCCTTGTTGTATCCTGCAAGATCTCATTAAAATTGACTAAGACCAGTAATTCATCAGTTTAAAGTCTTTGATCTGTTGAAAAAAGTCAGTAGTGCTAACTTAAGATAGGGTGACAGTGGTATCTCAAGGAGTGGGGCTGTTGTCTCTGCTGTAAACTATGCACAGTGCATATTAGTAGTCAGTACAGCATTCACAACTGTCAAGATTAGGTTTTTACCTAGTTTAGTTTTTCATGTTGCTGCATTTCAGAAGATCTATAAGAGTAGTTTACTTTGAAAACCACTGAAAATATTTGTCGTGCCAGAAGTAGTGACCTGTCATGGCCTGCAACAGTATGTTTATAGTCTGGTTACAAAATCCCATCCCATATTTGGGAGAGTAGTGTTTTCCAAGTGCACACTAACATGTTAGCTACAAAAACACAGTTAAAAGCCTGTGATCTAGAATAAAAGACATTAGGAAATGAAACATTTTTTTTTCAGTCTCTGGATAGATGACACCTGATGACAAGATCACTATGTGTGATGAAATGTAGCTTTCTAAGTAATCCCTGGGACTCTGAACTATATTATAAATTGCAACTGTCTCCTCATTGATGTATTTGAGAAGTTTCTTGTAACTGGAAATGAGAACAGGATTACCGCTTCAGAGGCTTTCTCATGATAAGAAGGAACTCCCATATTTTGCCACCAGTTATCATTTTTTACAGGAACCCAAGTACACTTTGCTAGTAGCCATGTTTCTGGTATTGAACAGGTCTCAGGTGAGAAAACAGGTTTCTGACTGGTGGTTCTTTCTGCTTTTCAGGACTCATTCTTTCTTATGCGGCCCTTCAAGGGTAGAATATTAGGTTAGTACTTTGCCAGCTGCTGCCCAGCATCCTCTCACTCCTTACTGCCTTTAACTATTCTGTATTACCCTTGAACTAGTATAGGACATTGGAGGTAGATGTGTGAATGTCACAATAACTTCATAAAAAATACCTGTGACCTCTGAAGCTTATTTTTGGGCCTTCTGGGAAGGCGATGCTACATATACATATGCAGGAGAAGTGTTTATCTAGGTCAGTTAAGTTGGACTAACCAGCTAAGCACATTAGGTAAACTTTATTCTTCTATGTAAGAGTATCTGACACAAACAGCTCCTCGAGTGTAGACTGGGAAAGTGCAGCTGTCCTTTATGGCTTTACTGACACAGGTAAAAATAAAGGTTGTAAGAAAATGTCTCCTTCACATCCAAAGTGAGGAGGAAAGGACATAGACATGGCTTTACGTGCCATCTTTCACAAATTTTAGTCAGAATACTTTTGGTCTTGGCCCAGCAATAGGATACTTTTGAAAAAAGTACAAAGAAAGTATGAAGATTAGCTGCGTCAATTGCCAGCAGGAGGAGATGCAACTGTCCAAAGTTATGGCTTGCTTTTTTTCTTTTTTTTTTTTTTTTTTTTTTTCCCCCCTTCTAGGCTTCCTTTCTGTTGTCTGTTCAGTGAACTGTTTGCAGAACACCAAGGGCTGGTTGGCTTCTCCTTAAGGCAGATAGGAGAATTAAGATGTGCACAAGGGTGACTTTTGGCTGATTTATAAGCATTTGAGTGAGGGTTTTCTTATGCATCTGCTTGTTGCATAATATTCCTTGTCCTTTAACTCAAGACGTGTCATTCCACGCTCCACTCCTGCTGCAAAACACAGCAGGCCTTGGCCAGTCACCTCAGCCCTGGGTTCCTGCGATACCCCCTGAGCGGGCGGCTGCGCTCACCGGGCGTGTGCCTAACCTCAGCTGCTGGGTCACCCCCACGGCCCCGCCCTGACCGCCCGGCCGCCGCTGCACCTCCCACGCGGGTACCGCCGCCCCGCGGGGGGTACCGGTGGCTCTCCCTCACACCCCGCAAGCCGCCCGCTGCCCTCACTCAAGATGGCGGAAGCAGCGCCTAGCTCGGGCAGGCCACCTGTTGCTGCTGCGACGGCGGCGGCTTCCCATTGGCTCTGGCGGGGCCGTGAGCCCTGCGAGCGGGAGGGGGGGGGGCAGGATAGGCGGCGGTTGAACCGGTGCGGGGGGGTTAAGGAAGCAAAAAGGGCGGGAGGGGTGAGGGGGGGGGGGAAGGAGTGGGGCATAAACCGCCGCCTCAGCGGCTGCTGGGCCCCGCCCCGCGGGGGCTCCCCGCGCCCCCGGTCATGGAGAGTGGCGGCGGCGGCGGGAGGGGCCCGGCGGGGCAGGAGGAGCTGCCGCTCCGGTAGCCGGTGCCGCCCGGGGAGGAGGAGGGGGAGGAAGAGAGGGAGGCGGCAGCGGCGGCGGCAGTGCTGCTGCCGCCCGAGGCCGAGACGGACTGGAGCTTCGTTGACGGCGAGATGGAGGCGGTGGCGCTGCGGGACCTGCCCACCGCCACCATCGCCTGCAACCTGGACCCGCGCGTCTTCCAGGACGGCCCGTGCCGGGTGAGCGCGGCGGGCAGGCAGGCCCGCCCCACGCCGGGGGACCGCGGGCCAGGGACCGCGGAGCCGGCTCCCTCTGCCGGCGAGCAGCCGCCGGCCGCTCGGCTCGGCCGGCTCCCCCCCCGCCGGGGCCGCGGCCACCGCCTCGGGCCGCTCGTGTGGGGAGCGGCGGCCTGCGGCGGGGGCGGGCGCCGAGGGGGGGGGGCGCGGCCCCGGCCCGGCTCTCAGCCGGCGCCTCGGTCTCCGTGGCCGCCCCCGCCCGTGGGAGGTGGGGGGCCGAGATCGTGGGTCCGCCTCCCCGCCCGCTCTCCTGACGCGAAGCGAGTGCCGGCAGGCGCGGCGGCTCTGCCCCGGCTGGGCGGCCCCTCCGCCGCCGCGGCGCGGAAACTCGCCTCTCGGGCCTCGGGACTGCTCCGGGGGCTTAGTCCGGCGGATCCACTGACCTGAACCCGTTGGTCAAGGCCAAGAGGAGCATACACCAGAAGGGGGGAGGGACAAAAAAAAAAAAAAAAAAAAAAAAAAAAAAGTGCCCTCCACCACCACTGTGTTCAGAGCGCTGCGGCTGTGTTTCAGCCAGGGTCTGTTGATGCACCCGAAGGGGTTTGGGCAGACGCGAGGCAGCGTTCGGGGAGCTGGGAGGGTGGCAGGCAGGCAGGTAACAGGCAAGGGTCCCAGGGGTTGCAGAAACCACCTGCCTGCTGGCGAAAGGGGTTGTTGGGTAGCGCACACGGATCTGCAGCGCTTTGAGTTGAGGACCACTTTGTTTAAAAAGTAATCAGAACTACCAACCCTTGTTCCAGAGCAGAGACGGGTAACAGCAGCTGTCAGAGGCATACCTTAAACTTGTCTGAAGTAAACTGCATGCTCTAGGTGTAATAAGTGGGTATAAATATTTCAGAATCGCTTCTCATGTTATCTGTGGCCTTCTTGATAAAGAAGGAATTAAAAGCAATCTTACTTTTTCATCCCTCTTTTACTTGTCTCAGCCCTGGCCAGAATTAAAGAATGAGTGAAGCTAACTTTTCTCTTGTTTTTTATAGTTGGTTTTGCTCTCAGGCTTTTACTTTCTAGTGACTTTGATACTGCTTAGTTTTTAAAAAAGATTGAAATGAAATGGACTTGAAGAATTAGGCAATAATTGTACTGTTTTAAAATCCTGTTAAAATAATTGGCTGTCTCTTTGTGGAAAAACAGCTTAGGGTGGTTGTTGTAGTAGTAGTCCAACAGCTCAACCCTGCTAACAGTAATAATGCATTAAAAATGAGCTGGAAATAGAAGATGCAGCTACGCTGTATTCCAATTACTTTCTAAGGTTGTATAACTTTTAATGGCAATATATTTTTGTATTGCTTTGGGCACCTGCAGGTGTGATGGGAACGTCACCTTTATTGGGAATTACCCTATTTACTTTAATTCAAGTTCACTCCAAGTATGCTTAGGAAAAAACCTATAATCAGTTCTATGTAGTATCATCAGTTGCATGTAATAATAGTATTTTATCAGATTCTTGTGACCTTGAAGTGCATGTTTTGAAACAGCAATTAGATGGATGACAACATAGATGCATAATCCCGTGCAAGACCAAAAGGTGTCTGAACACTCAAACCATTTTTCTGTCTTTCTGTTTTGATTCTAAAGAATCTCTGTCTCCAGTCACTTAATTTAGATCAGGACAGTCTTATGCATCCTTAACAGTACAATAAAAAATTGTTTTAACTACTTTTTTTTTTTTAATTTATTTATTATTATTGCCAAGAGTTGCAGCAGGAAGGAATGCGGATTACTTAAAGTAATAACAAATTAATTTGAGGTTAATCGTCTCAGCATAAACTGTATTATCTTAACCATGGATGACAGTATGTACTGTTACTTCAACATAGCTGTTGCTTTTGAAATTTAAATTCCTAGGGCAAAGAATGGAAAAATTACATTGAACTTGAGTAAATATGTGTATCCAAGAGGGAAGAAAAGTTGTCCTCAAAGTTTTATAAATAACACAAAATAATAATAAAAAAAATAATCTTGAGTTGCTTGGGACCTGGTGTTTTATAAACGTGGTAGGTGTACACAGACTTTTAATAGGCTGGAAAAACAGCCTAGTTTTTTGCTAACTGAATCTCAGCCATTGAAATACGTAATTTAGCTTCAGTTAATACAGTTACAGAGATGGCAAGAACTAACTCTTTAAAGCTGGAAATGTACGACTGTGGTGTAGGAAAACAGCAGATTCATGATCTGGATATGTTTTTAATGTGTTCTGTTGGCCAAATGTTAGTCAGCTGCAAAGAGAGAAAAGACAGGATGAGGCACTAAGGTGGGATCTCAGACTGTTTGGATGTGTGAAAGGTGGCTTCAGCACACTGCTGTTGGATGGTATGAAAAGAACAAGGTAATATTAAAAGTGGGGACAAGATTACAGAGTCTTCCATGTGTGCATCCAGTTTTACCTTAGCATTTACTGATTCTGGTATCCAAGAAAATGAAGGTGTTTTGATCTACAGTGGCAATTTAGCATTTGAAAATTATTCTGAGACACTAATTTTTAAAGGCTATGCTTTGTTACAGAGTCAATTTTAAGAACATTCACTTGATTTACTATAGAGCATGTACAGAAAAATCAAACTTGCTCTTATCAGTGTAGCAAACAGTTGTGTGGAACTTTGTTTCTGTGATGAAAAATGAGTAAAAGTATTGTAAAATATAACATCACCAGACATAGTGTTTTATAAGTATCCTATGAATTTTAGTGTATGCAATGTGTTTTCTTCTAGTTTGTGAACTTCCTACTTTTTCCAGTGTATGTGACACTCCTAAAATATCTTGTCTATGGTTGGTGTTTTTTTTCTCTTCAGTAGGCCCCTTAATAATCCTGGATTGCCCTATTTGAGGAGGGTTGATCCAATCAAAGGTGAGATAGGACAGCTAGTGACAACAACTATTTCTACTTTGCCCTCTTCCTTCCTAAACAGTGATTTGCATTTGAAATGCTGGTTGTATATTCTTGTTCGTTTTTTTGTTGTTTTTTTTTTTTCTAATGTTTGTTGGGTTTTTTTTTTTAATTGAGGTGCTGATGTCACAGTTAAGAAATCTGACGTTTTTAGGTTTGAAATCAATCTCTTAAAAATAGACCATCGTATCAAGTAATGTAATAGTTCTTGTAAATTACAATTTGTTCTCTACTTTATTTTCATAAGAAGGAATCTGACTTGCTTAAATACCTCATGGCTAGTTGTTCAACGTTGGTTCCAAAAGTCTTCTGGAGAACACTTAAATACTTACTTTCAAGTTTTTCTAAAGCACAGTTGGAGGAATACTCATAGATTCTCTAGCTTCTTATGTTTTTTCTGAAGTACAAGAAATTATTTTAAATGAAAACCCTTTATCTGATTATCAGGTTGGCTAATTACCTTGGAGAAATGCTGATTTCCTGAAATGTCTTCTACCTCTGACAGCTTTTTGGTAGTTTTAATGTTGACTCTCTGCTTGAGGAATTGTAATTCTTTCGTAGAGAAAAGTATTATTTCTTCATACAATGTGCAGATGAGTTTGAAGTTTTGTAACTGTATACCTGTGTACTTGGAATTTTTTTGTTTTTTTTTGTTTGTTTGTTTGTTTTTTGTTTTGTTTTTTCTTTAAAGTTGTCAGTAACTAGTTGTCGGAGCCAGCAATTATGCTTTTTCATACTTCCATCCTCCTCAACTGGTATTCAATTTTTAAGAGCCTTTTTATGTCAGTAGAGGACACTCAGGTTTTTTTATAGAACTTATACTGTCAAATGGCAAATCCAGTAGGTAATATGCTTGCTTGTGTCTTGTAATCCTGAAGGGATGTGGCATACTTCACTGATGACTTTAAAGTTCTGAGTACAGCCACAGGGGGGCTAAATAAGTTCATTTATATCCTGGTAGTCTTTTGCTAAGTAGGTTACCTAGGTCTGTTCTAACTGTCAGGTTTCCATTTCAGCTTAATTGTAGACAAGTATCACTCGTTTAATATGTGAAGAGTAAAAGAGAAACATAAAAAGTATTTAGAATTCAACTTTGGGATACTGAGAAAAGACTTGGTTTTTAGGGCTGAGGGATGAAGGATTTTTGATGCAGCTAATTTACCTTAGAACAGGCTGAGTTCTTTAAATTACTTTAAAATATCTATAATTGCCTTAATCTGCTAAATCTTGCAAGTTACTGCAAACTAGTGAATGTAGCAGAAGGTTTCCAGTAATTAAAGAAAACCTACCTTCATAGGTAACTCTTGAAAACAGGATGTTATATCATGATGATTGTTTTTTCTCCAGAGCTGGCTAGGGAAAACTTCACTGAAAGCTAGATTTTTAAAGAAATTTAGCTTGATTCCTTTTAAGTGCACTAGAAGTAGGACTGAGCCAGTCTCTTACAGTGGTCTGTGTCCTCACATAACCTCCAGTGGCAAGCTAAAGTAGAACTGGCTGTGAAACGGTGTCTGTGATTATTTATTCAAAAAAAAAAAAATTATTGTTGTTTGCAGATAAGGCCTGAATAAGGTCAGAAATCTCTGCAGTAGTATATCTAAGGAAAAAAGCAGTAATGGCAGGTATATTGAATCTTGTTAATGATTATCATAGCTTTAAAATTCTACTCTTCCTTTAGCTTTATGTAGTTTCAGTGTGGAAAAACTTGTTTGTGAACTGAAAATTAAGCTGCTGTTAAATGAGCCATGCTTTTAGAAATTTTTAATTGACTTACAGCCTACTGGAATAACCATGAGATGTTGAATGTATTCTGTGTTTTTTAAATACTTAGAGAATTACTTCTGCTTTATAGGAAGTTTGTCAGATTTCTCAGGGGTATTTATAAAACTTTCCTTACAAAATAGTATTTGTCTTTTCTGGTAATCTCTTCCTGTCTCAGTCACATGCCTCATTAATCCTTTTACTTAAAGTTTGTTAATCCTTTTAGATCACATTTAAAAAAATATTTTAAAAGTAAATTTCAAGAAGGTGAGTGGTTTCGTGTTTATATTTTTGT